CGGTCCTTAGATGCGATGGCATGGGGAAGCTGGCTTGGTCATTTCCCTACACGCATTCAGCTGGACATCTATGGATGCTGTCACTTTTGAATCAGAGAGGCAGAAATGTGCAGTGGCTCTTGGGGTAGCCTCCTCCCAAACTGCTTGCATTTGAGACGCATCTCTACGCTCCGCTGGCCATGTTCAGTACCCACCCAAGCCCATTTCTCATCTGTATAATGATGGTACTTATAGTACCTACCTAAGAAGGTTGTTATGAGCATTAAGTGAGAAACAGTCAGTAAAGAACCCGGCACAAAGTCTGGAGGTTGAAAAATGGGGGTCGTTTTCTCATAGATATTTTTATTAATAACACAACACCAACTTGCTTAGTGTTTTTCTGGGCTCTACAAACAGAACTAAGAACTGTGGGGTTCCAAGCAGTTCCTTCAGTTTAAATGAAAAAGCAGTGAACTGTTTAAAGGGCTGTGTTTACACACTTGTAAAAATTGCAAAAAACAACCATAACACAGAGTCTTTTTGTTGATTGACAATGCAATAAAACCCAGCGACTTTCAATTACCCCTTGACTGAGTTGGGCCTGCCAAAAAGGGAGTTATGCATTTGAAATCAGCAAACTGGATTTGGTCTCTTTTGCAGTCTCAGCAATTGCTCCCTGACTAGTTCCTCCCAAGGCCAGAGGTGGCCCTGTTGGCTTCCAGATTCTACCAGCTGACATGCTTTTTCTGTACTGAATAGTTTTTTTTTCTTTGTTTACATTCTAAATGGACGATATTTGCTTCCAAAGTTAGTGCAGCTGCTAAACACACTGGCTATAAAATCTCTCCCTCCAAAATAATACATAGTATTTTTCCATATGTATATAACTGTTGCTTAAAGGAAAATTTCTGTTAAATATATATATACATATACATACATATGTTTAGTAATATATATCTTCATACAGTATTCAAATTATACAGTGATATGAACTATTATGCTCAGACTATTTTGAGCTGACATGCTCTTTATAAATGATCCCTCCTTCCTTACATGCAATAGTAACTAGCTTAGATTTTCACTCCCATTTCTCCTCTTTCTCCTGATTTCACCCCAGTGTGGCTCGTGGGCCAAATACCAAGCTATAGATCATTGATATTAACAAGCCCAGCAGGTTTGTTGGTGATTTGTTTTTTGCCTTGTACAGATAAACACAATTAACATTTACTGTAAATCAACACAATTAATTAGCAACAGGGAAAATGTTGCTATTCAGCTGATTGCACAGGAAAAAAACCAATTATTTTATTCTCTGCGTCGTGTTGCCCCCAGCACACACACGGCTGCAGGCCCAGTCTGTGCATTCAGCTGAAGGAGCTGCGTGTTGGGGACATGGCCGATTGGCAAGTGCATCCTGGAGAGCGAGTGGGCATGGAGCTAAATGGTTGGGGCAGGTGACGCTGCTCTGCTTGCTATTTTTGTTTTCTATGTTGTTTATTATAAGAAAACCTTTCTAGTGCTTGTCTTAAATAGAGACGTAAATCTATGATCTGGCTCGCAGGACCCCACAGTGGGGACTCCTGGCTACCCGCCCCTTTTCCTGGTATGTTCCAGTTTCTCAGCCCATAGTTCATCTCCTCCCAGGTGCTCTGTAACTTGTCTATGCAGGATCTTGGTACATACTCTTTCCTACCAATGTTTTAACAGCTTTATTGAGATGTGATTCACATACCATATAACTTATTCATTTAAAATGTACACTTTGATAGTTTTAAGTATGTTTGTGGAGTTGTGTATCCATCACCACAATCAATTCTAGGACATTTTTACCACCCCTAAGAAACTCCTCTAACACATAACCACTATCACCAATTCTCCCATCCTCCCCAGAACCCAGCCCCAACCTATGTTTGTCTCCATAAATTTGCCTATTGTGAACATTTCATAGGCATGTAAACATACAAAGGGTCCTTTGTGCCTGGCTTCTTTCACTTAACATAAGGTTTTAAGGTTTATTAATGCTGCTATATGAAATAATATTCCATCCTGTGGATATACCACATTTTATTTATCCATTTATCAATTGATAGACATCTGGGTTGTTCCACTTTGGGGGTGCCGTGAACCTTTGTGTGCAGAAAAATGTTATCATTTCTCTTGGGTATGGATCTCGAAGAGGAATTGCTGGGTCATCCGGCAACTCTGTGTTTCACTATCTGGAAGCCTGCCAGACTGTTTTCCACAATAGCTGCACCATTTTCACTTCCACCTGCTGAATTTGCTTGAAAATTCCCATTTTTCCACTAAAACATGTTATTCCAACCATATCTTGTTATTCCACTCTAATCTCACTAACACGTTCATTCCAATTTTACAATCATTTTTAATATAGCCGTCCTAGTGGGGGTGAAGTCGCATTTCATTGTGCTATTATCCCCAGCATCTGAATAATTTCTACTCACTTTTCAAGCTGTGGCTGAAAAATCAGTTCAGTAGGGAATTTTGTCTTGACCACCCCCCTTCACTAGCCAAGGACCCCTTCCAGAAAACCTTTCTTTTCCCTCTAAACGTAAAGTTAACGTGGGCAGGGACCATCCCATCTCATGTTTGTTTTCCACTCACTCTCAACCCAGCCTCTGGCCGTGGTGTGAGCTATAGATCTGCTTGTTAAACATTTGTTGAATGAATGACATATTACAAAATAATGAGGAAAAAAGTGTACATTATCTGCAAATCGCCTATATCAGAATAACTGGCATGATTACTTTTTATTTTATTGATTTATTATTTATTTGTCTTTATTGTTGAAAGTATTACAGATGCTGCCCCCTTTTTCCCCCATTGACCCCCTCCTCCCCAAATAATGACTTTTTAAATCAATTTCATTTTTCCTTCATGCGGCCTTCCCACAGACCAAACTATTGAGAAATTTGTTACTGTCTCTGGCAAGGGGAGGGGTGGGGTTCTACAATGAAACCATGATGAATGCTCCTGCTTTCCTGAAGGTGTACCCCTTTCTGTTTGGTAAGAAACAGGGGGAGGCGCAGTAACATAAGCAAGGTCAAGTGCACTGTGTAACAACAGTCCTCGCTCAAGTTAAGCAGTCAATCCAAAGAACAGGTTTCTGAGACGGGGAACTTGGGAGGACTGGGCTGTTCTGCTCTGGGTATCAACTAGGCTGCTCCCTAGAGATGTCCATTCAATGGGTCTGGGACAAGGGCCTGGAATACATATTATTAACAAGGCCCTTAATGTTACTGATGCTAATGGTCCATGGGCTTCACTTTAAAAATAAAAAATAACATTCATCCCAGCTAATGTTCTCATTATTTAACAGAAACAGGTTAATACCCAAGTTAAAAAACAAACAAGCTCTGGAGTCTGACACAAATTTAAATCTCCAGCCCAATTTACTAGCCATGTATCTTAGAACAAATTATTTAATCTTTCTAAGCCCGTTTCTTTATCTGTAAAGGGGAAGAAGGCAATAAAGTATCTACATTCTCACAGTTGCCATGAAATTAAGTTAATGACTGTAGATAAAACACAGTATTTGACACACATGAAGTGCTACAATGTTGTTTGCTATTGTTGTTAATATTTTATCACTGTATTATTTCTAAATTGTAAAAGAATGCATAATAAATCTTTTTTTAAAGGGCTCGAGTTTGCTTAGTAAGAAAAACACTTCCTAAGCGTAAGTTAGGAATTTAGAAGGGTCATCAGTGATACAAAAGTATCATTATTACTGTTGTAGATAAATTTCCAAATCGTCCTTAGTTTACTGATATCGTTAAACCTCATTTATGTCTATTTCTGAGTGCCTCCCTAAATCAAGGAATAATTGTGTCACTTCTGAAGAAGCAGAATTTGGGGTCCTGTATCTAGTTACAGCTTACTATCTAGACCACACATATTCCTTAGGTGTCATTTACTGAGTAGGAAGTATTGTTCCCTCCCCTCAAAAAAATCTTATTTTTCTCTATTAAGTAATATATTGAGCCTGGATGCTGTCTTGATAGAACTTACTGTCTAAAACAGGAGTTCTAAAAGGTTAGTCAAATTAGGATCTATCAGTTATCTTACAGAATCGAAAATGGTCACTCAGGCCCCGGCGGGACTGGCTCAGCAGTTAGAGTGTCGGCCGGTGGACCAGAGGGTCGCGGGTTTGACTCTCATTCAGGGGCAAGTACCTGCGCTGCACGTTCGATCCCCAGCCCCGGTCGAGGATGTGCAGGAGGCCATTGTCTCTGACCCTGACTCCCTTCCGCTCCACCTAAAAATGAATGAAAAATATCCTCCAGTGAGGATTAACAACAACAACAAAAATGTTCATTCATTTACCCAAGTCCTAACTAGTGCGAGGCCCACAGGTGTCAGGACTTTGGATACACAGAGAAGAAGGATATGAAAATCTCCATGATCATGGAGGGGACAGTGGAGACAGTACAGTCATTAAATCTGTTACCGAGATAGTGTGGCTGGTGATGAGTGCTCTGAATGACATTAAACAGGGTGGTGTGGTAGAAATGTCTAAGGAAGGGGACTACTTTAGATTAATGTTCATTCTTGAATGGCAAGAACAAGCCAGCCATGGGAAATATCAGGACGCAGAGAGATTTAGGAACAGGGAACAGTCAGGGAAAATACCCTGAGCCAAGAACATGATGTAAGACCTGGTGGGCCACGTGTAGGAGTTAGATTTTGAGTTAAGAGGAGAAAGCCCTGCAGAATTTAAGAAGGAGGATGTCCCAGTCTAATACATCATTTTGGGTGCCCCGCCTCTCTTCCTCCCCTCTCTCCATCGACAGCTATGGTGAAACCCAGCAGCATGGTGTTTAACTGCAGTATTCACTTCCACGTTTGTGGTTAGATTCTCTGCCATTTCGTTAATGAACTTGCCTCCTGGCATGCCATGCCCTCCCGAATCACTGCCCACTTTGCTGGAGAATGTGTAGACTTGGCATCCACTTTCCTCTCGAAGCATTTTACAGAGTGTCTCCTTAACTCTGTGACCGTAGGTTGCACCAGGTGACCTTTGAGGTGCCCACCTGCGAGGGAAAGGAGCGGGAGAAGCTGGCACTGACTGGGGACTTCTCGTCGTCAGCAGAATTCTTTGTCACCGTCGCCGTGTTTGCCTTCCTCTACTCCTTGGCCGCCACTGTCGTTTACATTTTCTTCCAGAACAAGTATCGGGAAAACAACCGGGGTCCGTTCATTGTAAGTGGTTTGCTTTTTGCAACAACTTTTTTCTGTCCCCTCTAATTTTTTTCCCTAATATTTAAAGGGTGCCGGAGTTACCTGAGCCTTCAGGACAGGTATTTTAAAAGAACTCACATTCTTTTTCTTTTGTTAATCTTCACCCAAGGATATTTTTACATTGATTTTTAGAATAGAAGAGAGGGAGGAAGAGAGAAACATCGATGTGAGAGAGATACATCGATTAGTTGCCTCCTGCATGACCCCACCTGGGGCCAGGAATGGAACCTGCCCTTGACCGGGAATCGAACCCAAGACCCTTTGGTCCGTGGGCTGATGCTCTAACTTCTGAGCCAAACCAGCCAGGGCAGAAATCACATCCTTTTTCACCCAAATCTCTTGGATCTAAAATTAAAACATGATGTCTGTCGTTCTTTTGTGCTCCTCTGTCGGGTGTCACAAGATTTGCTAAAAACTCTTCTGAAATAAGTAAGTGGAATTCCGTAAGATGAAGGAAAGATAGTGAGGCTTGCTGCAGATTTATCTAATTCCAGCACCATGGAGGCAGTAACCATTTTTCTCACTGGTTATTTAGACAGTGCGACTTCTGCTTATTTGAATTGCATGTTCCCTCAGTATATGGCAGACTGGGCATAGAGCTGTTCAGTTTGAAAATGGAGTTCTCCATCTCTGAATCTCTCTCTCTCCCTCCCTCCCACCACCAACCCTTCCCTATTTGCCTTTTCGTGTATGATGGTTCAAGAATGCACATGCGTGGAACCGATACAGTCCAGCATATGCAAACAGGGGCATGTACACTGAGCAGGACACATGCCTCTCAGAGGGTTACATGGTCATGGATAATTTTAAGGAAATGAAATTTCTCAACCTTCACATGTACATTTACCTAAAATTTATCTTACTGAGAATGCCCTACATTAAAAAAACAGCTTGGTGTCTTCTTTCTTAATTACCTATTCCCATTTTATGACAGAGAAGCATCTTTCTTTTTTAAAAAATCCCAAATATTACTGCATGGCAGATTGCTAGGGTGCAAAACCTTTGAGGCACTAAAGGAAGGACCATGTGAAATACCAGTGGTGGTGTTGACAGAAGTGAGTGATTGTAATGCCTGGGTAATGTACTGTTTTGAATATAAGGAGGCTTCCAATATTTTTCTTTCAATAACAATGCAAGTCCAAAATCTACTTGTCAGCTGATAGATCATTAAAAATGATTTTTGGTGATTTGAGGCATGTAACTCAGATGGAATCAAATAAATTAATGAGATTGCTGAAACAAAATTTCATTTATTCTCATCTCATGTATGTGAGCAAGCATTCTCAAGACACCAATAAAATGCAAAATGGGAATAAATTTATGCAGAATCACGTCTCATTCTAGACAGAAATAGTATTCATCCCCCCAAATATAAATTAATTGAAGTAAAATTAGCTGCATACATTTCTAATTTAAATTTAACTTTTTAGCCCTGGCCAGTTTTGCTCAGCGGTTAGAGCATCGACCTGCAGTCCAGAGAGACCCAGGTTTGGTTCCCGCTAAGGGCATGTACCTTGGTTGCAGTTTGTCCCCGGCCCCGTTTGGGTAGTGCGGGAGGCAGCCACTTGATGTGTCCCTTTCCCGTCGATGTTTCTCTCTCTCTGTCTTCCTCTCTCTCTCTCCCACTCTATCTGAACAAAAAAACAAAAAATGTCCTCAGGTGAGGATAAAATAAATAAATAAATAAATTCGACTTTTGAAATTTAAAATTATGCATTAAATGTATAATACATGTGTTGTTTTGGATATGCATAATTCATAATATTTGTAATGATCACCCAACCCAAAAGAAAATTTTGATACTTAAAACATTAGGGTCACTGGTAAATTAAAATTCAAGTAAATTTATATACATATTTTTGCTATAAAGAAATATACTCAGATGATTGATAAAATGCCCTTCATATAAAAAATATTATATTAGGCTATAGCTGTGTGAAGGAAGTATAATGGAAATTAAAGTTCAAAGAGAACAAAACATGTAAAACTTTCAGCTGTCACACAGGAAGCTGTTCATTGATTTTTTAGTAGATAATAGAGAATATCAAGTAACTATTCCATTAGATTTATTTTTAAATGGATGCGATGGGTATATTTTCAAATATCAATGCTTATAATATGCCAGAAATTATACTCTATACAACTATTTAGACTTATAATAAAATAAATTGGCCCTGGCGGGTTTGGCTGAGCCGGCAGAGCGTGGGCCTGCGTCCGGAGAGAACCCTACTGGCCCACTGAAGTCTCTAATGATGAGGACTTGATAAACACCCACTGCATTTCCGTGGCTCCCTGTCACGGCCGGTGTGGCTTAAATCAACTGCTCTGGGGTTAAGGAGAGTCCACATCCACCTTCAGATCCAGTGGACAGAAGGGAGCTGTGTCGTTCACACGGCGGGTCCCACTCGGGACGCGGTGGCCGCAGGCACGCTGCAGGCCGGGAAGTGCCAGCCCACGCGGGAAGTGCCGGCCCACGCGGGAAGTGCCGGCCCACGCGGGAAGTGCGGGCCCACGCGGGAAGTGCCGGCCCACTGCGGGAAGTGCCGGCCCACGCGGGGAAGTGCCGGCCCACGCCGCTGGGAAGTGCCGGCCCACGCGGGAAGTGCCGGCCCACGCGGGGAAGTGCCGGCCCACGCCGCTGGGAAGTGCCGGCCCACGCGGGAAGTGCCGGCCCACGCGGGAAGTGCCGGCCCACTGCGGGAAGTGCCGGCCCACGCGGGAAGTGCCGGCCCACGCGGGAAGTGCCGGCCCACGCCGCCGGGAAGTGCCGGCCCACGCGGGGAAGTGCCGGCCCACGCCGAGAAGTGCCGGCCCACGCCGGCGGGAAGTGCCGGCCCACGCGGGAAGTGCCGGCCCACTCGGGAAGTGCCGGCCCACGCTGGCACGCAGGGCGGGGCTCACGTCGCCTCACGCCCAGTGCTTTCCACATGCGGTCCTGTTTCCATCAGCCTCCGCAGTCCTGCCAGCCGGGGCAGCTGAGAATCGGCGGCTCTGCGGGTCCCACGGAACTGGTCCCCGGGCACAGGTGCTGGAGAGTGGCCCGGGAGAGGACCCAGGCCGCCTGTGCCCAGAGGCCCAGTGAATGGCGGCGGGCTCAGACTCAGGCTAACGACCTAAGGGCGGCGACCACTCCAGGGCCTGGATTCCAATGCCCTGCACGACCTGCTCTGTAACCGCTGGAAGCCTGTACTGCATCTGTGGAAGGAAGTTAATCCACAGGGCTGCTGGCAGCAAAGGAAGGGTGAGTGCCTGCACAGCTCTTGGCACCCGGAAGGGCACAGAGGGTGATACATTCATGGAATGTGATTGTAACACTGTTGTTGTCATTAACTTGCATTACTCTCCGCCCGTTCCTGGGGAGTACCTTAGTCCCGCACGGGTGCATGGCAGCCACCTTCCTCTAATTGACTGCAGGCCTCAGCCTTGTACTTTTCCGGTCCCTCCACCCCCGGCACCGGCTCCCTCAGGTCCCCCAAGGATAGAGCTTGACTCAGAACTCCTTCTAAGGTCCCACTGGTTAGGGTGAGCATCCAATTAACCTTTCTGTTCCGGAAGCCCCTCTCGATGAAATCACTGGAAGGTGGATTTTTAAGTCCCCAGGACAGAACAAAGCTCCTGGTTTTCAAGTGCAGGCTAAGAGGATCTCTAAGGGAGGAGAACAGGGGCAGGCACAGCGATGGACGTCAAAGGATTGCCTGCTAATTTCCAGCTAGCAGCGCTTGCTTGCTTGGCTGTGATCAGAGGTGGAAATCAGATCTGCCATCTCTGAGCTTTTCGTAAATTGCTGAAGAATCTCTCCCTTTCCTCTCCCCTTCCATCTCCCTCTCAACTCCTCCTGCCCCTCCCCTCCCCTCCCCGCCCCTCCCCTCCCCTCCTCTCCTCTCCTCTCCTTTCCTGTCTCCTCTCTCTCTGTTTCATCCTGTCACTTTTACTTCATGTCTAAGTATATTTTATTTTATTAGGTAATAAGTATGTTTCCATAAGCCAAGAAACATGTAGATATTGGTGAATTAACAATTATGCCTCTGCTACACAAGATCTGCTAGAAGTATGGAGAGATGGGCTTTGGCAATCTAGAGAAGAAAACATACCTTGTAGAAGCCAGGGCACCCCCTCCCCAGGTCCAGTACACTCAGGTTCCAGTGGCTGGCGAGAGGGTGAGTGCAGGAGACTGGATTTGAAGTTCTTCCCAGTACAGTGTATCTGATGCTAAAAATAATCACATCATTTAAAACCCCCAAAATATATATCTTGTTAGTCATAGGCATGCCTGTCAGAATCTGACACTCCACTTGTGACGTGGTGTGCGTGTGTGTGTGTGTGTGTGTTTCCACATTTTATCAGATTTTACATCCTCAGCCCTTCTCCAGCTTCTTTATGTTTAGCAGATTCTTTTTATTTTTAATTATTATTGAATTTATTGGAGTGACAATGGTTAACAAAATTATATATGTTTCCGGTGTATAATTCTATAATATATCATCTGTATATTGTATTGCGTGTTCACTACCCAAAATCAATCTCCTTCCATCACCATTTATCCCCCCTTTACCCTTTTATATCCCCTACACCACCCCCCTTTCCCTCTGGTAATCACCATACTGTTGTCTGTGGTTAGGAGTTATCTTTGTTTTTTGCTTAATCCCTTTACCTTTTTCACCCAGCCCTAAAACCTCCCTCTTCTTGACAGCTGTCAGTCTGTTCTATATATATGAGTTTGTTTCTATTTTGTTTGTTTATTTTGTTCATTGGGTTTCATATATAAGTAAAACCATATGGTATTTGTCTTTCTCTGACTGATTTATTTTACTTAGCATAATATTCTGCAGGTCTATCCATGTTGTCGAAAAAGGTAAGATTTTCTTCTTTTTTACAGTCGTATAGTATTCCTCTGTGTAAATGTACCTCAGCTTTTTTATCTACTCATCTACTGATGGACACTTGGGCTGCTTCCAACTCTT